GATGTTCTACAGTTGTAGGCCAGTGGAGTGGCCTTTCTACTTTGCATTCCTTCTTCCAATTGCTATCATTCTGGTGTTTGATAGTATAATGTTCGTGAGGATCATGGTAGCACTGTACAACCACACGAAACAGACCGAAAAACTAAGGAATACTCAAAAGGAGGGACTTAGGATAAAGCAGATCAAGCAAAACACCAGATATGCAATAGTGCTTGTAACACTTTTTGGACTAGGATGGGTTTTCGGACTTTTTGTGACTGGCTACCCTCAAGCACCTATGGAAGTGACCTTTACATTGCAGTTTGGATTCTGCTTGTTCGTCTCCACTCAAGGAGTCTTGCTTTTTGTGTTCCAAGTACTTTTATCACGAGATGCTCGGGATTTTTGGCTTAGCAAACTTGACATATGTTTCCCATCCATCAAGAAATATCGCATCTCGGATCCAAAGAAAGCAAAGCATGGTTACAAAAAGAAAACCATCATGAAACGAGTTACTGGTCTCTTCAAAACTCCAAAGCCTGACGATATTTTGAAATCGACTGACCACACGTTTACCACCATGGAAAGAGGCGGCCACATGAGCTCTGGGATAACAGAAAGCTTTGAAGCAAGTTACCACACAACCACACTTCCGCGCCCGAGAACCTCTCCTCTTTATACAGCACCTCGTTATTCCACTGCTGAGAGTAGTGCTATTGCAAGTGAAATGAAAAGTACTGGGGCTGAATTACATCTTTCAGATATTGATTTCGACAAACTAAGTCTACAGGACGATTTTTGATCCCAAGAGATGTCAGAATGCAAGAATAGCACGTGTTTATGCTATATACCTTAAAACTACGTGAACACAGCAGCCACTAGTATCTATGTATATATTGTGTCTTTGCAATTTAGCAGACAGATCCCCTAACTGTGTAATTAATATGGGTCAAATTGCTGTGCTAGCATTGCATTACTTTCAGGATATTATGCAGAACAGCTGATTCTGAAAACTTCTGTGTCAATGCTGCTTGTGAAAATCAATGTGGCCACTTGAATGAGGTCCAGAGGTCTTGCTAAAAATATCTCGTGCTATATTAGATGGTTTGTATTTCAACCCACAGCATGTACATTCAGCAAGGGTCTGCTTGTCAGGTAGATCTATCCTGAATCCAGCTGTACATTGTCATGCATAACTAATTATTCACACTTGTGCATTTTGGCTGTTCCAGTAAAAAATATCGTCATTGATCTCACAGCCCAGATGCAATAATTTACAGCTGCGCAAGATTAGATGTGGTGAAAGGTGCTGTGAACTACTGTAATATGCCACGGAGACATGCACTGGTAAAGAAGGGAGACTCAGACGGTGTCATAGTGTTCACCGCACTATATCTACAGTATGGTGAGTGGTACATCAATAAGGATGGCACAGCCGGCCGTCACAGTGGTCCGCGTACAAAACGCCTCAAACCTCGGCTAGACTGATTCCATATACCTTCAAAACTAACTAGCAATAGTCTATGGGCCAGTATCTAGCTATACACATGCCCAAAGGCTTTATACGGGCCCTCAGATCTCCACACGAGAATTCGCTCATACGCCAATCCCGCTATCTATTTACTGGAACCAGTTCAAGCGCTACTGTTTTCACACGTCTCCAGGTACCACGGAGGTGTGCAAGCCATCGAGCGATCGTTCCATTTTCTCGGTAGTTCCTACGATAGTTCTTTCAGCTCTTCCATGATAGACACTGCACGACGCAATACGACCGATGTTGTCATGTATATACCTTTGTGTGTCTTAGCTGTGTAATGAGCCTTTGTTCTTTCCTGAGCCATCCCTATATATCCCCTTCATTACACCCTCGGCGCGCATGCGCAGCGAGGGTTACAGTAGTTGTGTGTGTGTGTGCGTCGACGATTATTCTGGACAGGCCACGTGACGTCTATTAGCGATACCAGCATCGGCTTCAGCGAGCCTGAAAAATAAATGGCGATTTTCCTGAAATGATTGTGTTCGAGAGATATGGCCGTCGAAAAGGCCAAGAGCTCTACGCACTGGGCTTACTGCGACCTGATGCGCTCGCTCAGGAAGTCACAATGAATGGCATTACCGACTCCCGCATGTTATCTACTAAGTACTGTAGCTAGCCCGTGTGTCAGACTCTCCGCGAGCTATATATAATAGTAGCGGGAGACCAACAAATAGCCCAGCCCATCAATTTAGCAGTGTCGCGCATGCGCAGTTCGCCGAGGGTTTGCACTTTTATATTTTGGAACCGGTTTTTATTCATCCCATTTGAGATGTTTGTGCATTTAATATCTTGTAATAAATGTGGCATTCAATATGTGGGTGAGACAAGTCAGAAGCTTAGAAATAGGTTAAACAACCACAGAAGTAGTCTGAAGAGGTTGACGAACCTATATTTATACCATCATTTTAGTTCTGATGGTCACTCTGGAGGTGATATTTGCATTATGCCCATTGAAGAAATACCAGCTAGTGATAGGGCTAATGTAATACGACTGGAAAGGGAAGACTATTGGTGTAGGGAACTGTGTACCTACTATCCGTATGGGCTAAATGACAATGTGAGAGGTGTGGGTAATATATCTAAACAGCCTGGATTGGTAGTGAACGCATTATTTAATAGAAGGTATAGGAAGTTTAAGAAGATAAAGCACCGTAGACATAGAAAGAAGCTCAATTTAAATGATCCAACTTCTAATGTTGAGAATTGTTTACATAGTTATAAGTCTCGTTTTTTTTGTTTTTTATGTTAGGAGTTTAGTCCTTAGCTTACCAGTGAAATGGATGGGAGTATTATGGAATGTTTTTCAATGTTGGAGGCAGACACACGATGTACCTGATCGCATTGCTGTTTTAATGAAGGATTTGATTGCTTTCAGGAGGAGAGCCTTGCATATAGGGGAATGTAATGTAGATGAAACTTCTAGAAATACATCAGGGTATATGAGCGTTCTCTATCATAACAAGGGTATTGACATGGTCAATCTCCCTAGAATATTGAACAGCAAGTATGTTAGAGATGCAGTGCCTAACGTTGTACATAATGCAACACCTCCCATAGTGAGCTTTAAATACACTAAAACTATTGCTGGAAAGATTTTCAATCGGAAGAAGGTAGTTGAGGGGCTAGATGTTGATATGGGTACTAGAGATATGTGTTGTGATTGTAATACGAGTAAATACTGTTACACACCTGTTGGACATGTCGTTACTGGAGACTTGAATATCGTAAGGGATGCAAAGCTTCGAAGCTTAATAGAGAAAGGACCATCTTACAGAGAACAAAACTATGTTGATTGGAGCATTACTGAAAAGTTATGTAAGGAGGCAATAACCAAATATAAACGTAAATGGTCGCGTAGAGAAAGGATAGACATAAGAGCATTAAATGAGTGGGAATGTAAGGTAAAAGAATGTGTTCAGAAAAGAATTGCCTCGCTGAAGAGAAAGTATATAAATAGAAGGAAAATGCATAATTATCCTGAAGAATAGAGTGCATTCAAGGTCTCTAGAGGAGCTTCATAATAAGTATGTATTAGTGCCGGCTGATAAGGCAGCACAAAATGTGATTATAGTTTGTAAGAAGTATTATTTGGAAATTGTATTAAAAGAAATCGACACCACTATCACGTATGAGCATGTTATGGAGGGATGTCAAGGCATTGTTGATAGACACGTTAATTTTTTGAATAACCACCGCATTGATGTACGACCTGAGTATAGATGCTTGCCTTTGTTTTATTGGCTTCCAAAGCTTCATAAACGGCCTTATGGTACTAGGTTCATAGCTGCATCACACAGGTGCACTACAAAGCCTTTATCTAAACTACTTACTAGCTGCCTTAAACTAATCTCCACCCATTATAAACAATATTGTAACGGCATTTTTTGTAGGACTGGAGTAAATTGTTTTTGGATCATTGATAACTCCCAGCAGGTGCTTTCAACTTTAAGCAAAATAAATTATTTTTCTACGGCCAGGCATTTTGATAGCTACGACTTTTCTACATTGTACACAAGCATTCCACATGTAGCACTCAAAGAGGCTTTAGAGACTCTAGTTCAGGAAGCATACATGGTGAGAGACAGTGAGTTCATTATAGCAGATGGTACTGGAAATGCGTACTGGTCTGATGTACCATCGAACTCCTCGTCGAAACATAATATTACTGAAGAGATGCTAGTCACATATGTGGAATACCTGATAGATAATATTTATGTTAGTATAGGTAATAGAATATATAGACAGTGTATAGGGATTCCAATGGGAACGGATTGTGCGCCGTTGGTGGCAAATTTGTTTCTGTTTTACTATGAATATAGATATATGAAGAATATGATAAAAACTAATTTGATTCTGGCAAAAAGATTTAGTAACACAATGAGGTATATTGATGATTTGCTGACATTGAATAACACATCGTTTAATTCGGCCATTGATGACATATACCCAGAGGAGCTTAAACTAAAAAGAACATCTGAATCACCAACAACACTGTCATACTTAGATATATATATAACTATAACAAATGGGAAATATTCCACGGCAGTATATGATAAATGGGATGATTTTAACTTCAAAATTGTAAATTTTCCATATCTAAGTTCCAATACTCCATCTGGACCAGCATACGGAGTTTATATTTCCCAATTAGTACGTATAGGTAGAATATGTAGTGATTACTCGGATTTTACGTTGAGACTTTTCAAACTAACGGAGCGACTGATTCATCAAGGATACAGATACTCTGATTTGTGCAGGTCCTTTTATAAGTTTGCTAAAAAGCACGCACAAATCATGATTAAATATAGTTACGGCATACGCAAACATGTGGAGGATGGTATATGTTTGCCAGCAATGGATAGATTCCTCAGTCGCCATGTGTCGCATAGATAGAATGTATATTTATAGTCACATATTTATTTTTAGCTATGACAGTAGCTCAGACGCCCATGTTAACATGGGCGTCTGAGCTACTGTCATAGCTAAACAGCAACAAAAAAACAACCTCTGCCATGAAGATATATGAAAAAACATGTTTATAGCATACTAGCTCAGAGGAAAAGAAAGAACCTCCCCCACCCAAGCACACAAAACACAGACAATAACATACCCAAGCGTACAAAAACACAGACAATAACATATAAACAGAAAGAAAGAGGCAGGACCCTGGGTGGCCAGCCTTGAGAACCGGGGCGGTAGGTTAAAGAGTCTTTTATGGGCCCAACTCTCCCTACACACCCAGTGTCCCAACCTCCCTTACACATAGTTATAAATAAATAGATAGAAATCATGTACCAAAAACGACAGCTACAGGATAAAAACAACAGCCGGTAGAAAATAGAAAGCCTCAAAGGACCATAAACTCATAGAAAAATATAAAAACTCTGAAACTCACGCAGCACGACGACACGACGGAGACATAAAAAACGTGCGATTATTCTAAATAACGCACAGCATATACACGTGTAAGAAAAATAGAATAATAGAACTCCTAAAATAAGATTAATAGTCTGTCGATACTTTAAATAACGCACAGCATATACACGTGTAAGAAAAATATAAATAATATAATAGTAGTAGAAATGGTAGAAATAGAAATGTTAAAAATAGATTATTCAAAATAAATATGT